TGCTGTCTCGGGGATGTTACAGAGGGGGAGTTCAGTGTAAATTCAAATTGCCGTTTAGGGAAAAGAGGGCTTTTCATGTCTTTCATACTGTGGCCTAGGGGTTCCCCTCAGGACATGAAAGTGCTTCCTGGCCTCAGCTTGTGCCCAGCGCGAGCCTCGGAGCAGAGGGGCGGAGGAGGAGACGGCCAGGGCGCAGAGAGCGGAGGTGGCTGCTGCCTTCCCCGTGCCCTGAGAAGGGGGCGCGCGGCCCCTGTCAGGGCTCTGCGCTTGGGGTGCGCTGAACTAACAAGTATATTAGGCACAGCGTTTTGAAAGTGAGGTGAAGGATCAGATGGTTTATAGCAAGATGAAAAGATCAGAGCAGCAGAAGGTCCGAACACATGGCTGTTCTTGGTAGCCTCACTGTTTGGCCTGGCATTGCCAGAGACAGACAGCAGTAACACTGAGTGGATTTGTTCCCTTTCTGGCTTCTGTTGACATGCAGTAGTTAATCCAGTGAAGCACTAATTTGCAGTTCTGCTTTGTGTAGCACCTCCTGTTTCAGGTCTGAAGTATTTACAAGGCTTTGCAGTGGAAAACCAAGGGAATTCTTGTGGTATCGAAATAGCAAAGTGTATCCATGGAAACAGAGGAATCTGCTTTACATGGATAAATACAGGCCCTATTGCATGAAAGTGCTCGGGCTGTGAACCTGCAGGGTAGAGAAAGAGCGGCCTTTGCCCCACCTGCTACAACAGAAGGGGAGCACAGTCAGCACCACACAACATTCACAGAATTGCGCCGTTAGCAAGTGTGAGAGAGCCATAGGAAGCTCCTGCCGAACAGGCAGGAAAGATGCTTTTATAAACACTATGAAATTTCAGCATAAGGTTATCAGTTGATTTGTGCACAAATAATTCTCTCACGCTGATGAATTTTCATTATATAATGAGGTTGAAAGTCCCTTTCCATTCACATCCACCCCTCAATAGCTGTGTGTTGTTCATGTGTGGACAGCTGGCACATTCTTGAATGGCCTAAAATAAAATTCCTTTTATCCACCTAACCGTTCATGGGGGTTACAAATACTCTTCTGGCTTGTGGAAAGCATGAGTTTATGGGTACAAGAGAAAGGGAAAGGGAGAAGGTGCAAGTAAATAAGAACTGACATTACAGAAGAAAAACTGGGAAGCCCACACTGCTCCTTACCTCTAGGATAATCAAAAGGGAAGCTGCAGAGAACTGGAAAACAATCAGAGAGACCATAATGAAACTTCTCTTATGCCTTAAAGGCTTCACTTGTGGCATGAGACGATTATTTAGGGCTAGCACAAGGCCAAGGCACTATCTCATTCCCCCAAGCTAGGTAAGAGAGGTCTGTCGTGGGTGTCTCTCACACTACGTGTAATTTGGCCTTGCCACAAGCAGCTTTGATATTCTGCTTTTGGGGGTCTTAAGCATGGATTTAGAATGCAGGTGATGCAGAGCTGCAATCAGGCTATGGCACTGTGGCAACTTCAGAATTTGCAAAAATCCCTTAAGGAAATCAACAATCTTCCTCAAAACAAGAACTAACCCCTCAGAAATCAAATAACGGGATCATGTTCTTCAGAGGGTGTCTGTTACAATTTGCTTTGTACCCACAGGCACTGGGGTGATGACAGTCTTCATTACTATCTTCTCCCTCCTAATCATAAGGAGGAAGCTGTTGTTCAAACAGCCCAGGACTTCCATGTGGGAGGTCTCATCCCTTTTACTAGTCTGTCATCAGACAGTCTAGGTGTCTTCATATAGTTTTCTCTCCCCAGATGAACATCCCTTCTCAGAAGAGGAGAAAGAACTATATAGTCTTTAATAAAAATTTGTAGTCCTTCACTTCATTATAGGCTTACACTATGAGTTTTAGAAGAGTGATTTCAAAGGTCTTCAGCAAATGCAGCACTTTATTTGGAATTTTTTTGTTCTCAAACTATTAGAGATATTATTAAAATACAAGATAATAAAGTTATACAAATAAATGTGAAAAAAATGTTAACTGTTAATGTTAGAATATGGGTTTTCGTATTCATTTTGATCAAATGCAGTGTTCACTACGCAGCCATAATCTTGCTCGTGTACTCTGTCATTCAGTGTGTCTCTGGAGCGGTTGGTTCAAAGATGAGTTCCCAGTTTTGGCTGTTCTCTCCAATGTAAGCGTGCCTGTCTTCCTTCTGTCAAAAAAAAAAAAACAGCTTTAATTTCTATTTTTAACTGTAGTGGAAGGCCAGAGACTGGTGTGAGTATGGATAAACAAGCATGAATGAAGCCAAATTTTGAAGATTCCTAAGCTTTGTGATAGTGATCCATAGACCTTATGAAATAAAAATGGCACATGTTGATTCCTGTAGACAAAGGTTAGTTTTCCCTTATATTCCTCAAATGAGCTCCTGAATGCTCCGGTTCCTTTCTGGTCCTGCCATTGTGTGACTGGTGGGAGTTCTGGGGTATAGAGGTACCAGAAGGTGTTTATGTGTTTTGTCTCTGTGGGATGTAGCAGAGCTGGTAAAGGCCTTACCTGAACAGGTATACTGCAGAGGAGATGAGAATGAGGACAACAACAGCACCTGCCAAAACTCCCACAACAATGGCAGCTGTATAGTCCTTTTCCTCTGGTGTTTGATCTGTAGCTGTTTGATCTGAAGAAGAAACAGGATCCTTGTCAGTGAAAGCTGACTAATGCAAACAGAAACTTTTTCTTAAGTGCCACGCTGCAATCTGAGCAATGAGCAAACATATCTGGTTCTAGTCAGAGGTATCCATGTGGCATTTTGGATTATTTTCTTTGAAGTAGACGCCAGCCTCTGTCACAATTTCAAGCCTGATGCTTGTTTCAGACTTGAGCCAGAGCATGAGCTGACATGTAGAGAAAGTGAATGGCTGGGGACTGTGGGCTTCTAGGGTAGGTTTGGCCAGAGCAGACTCATGTAACAGTAAGACATGTCCCCTCAGTCTGTGGTACTCGGGGGCAATCCTTACTCTGAAGAACATTGTCAAGGACTTGTCTTGAACTACATTCAGCAGAAAGGTTTCTGGGTAAGCCTCCACCCTGCCTTCAATTAAATCACAAAATGCCAATTAAGAGCTATGATGAAGTCCTAATCTAACACCTGCTTCTCTTTGTGTGTAGTGCTGCCAGTGAAATCCAATATAATTTTGTTACCTATCCGTTCAGTCCCACAGGTATCTCCTGTGTACAGTTCTGTGCATTCACAAGAAAACGTGAGAGAAGTATCATTGGTAGTCTCAGAGCAAACTCCATCATTCTGACAAGGACTTGGCATACATGGTCCACCTAGCAAAAAGGAAGAAGAAACACTTCAGAATCTCAGATAATCCAACACTGAACTGCTCTTGGTTAGCTTACACCGACTCTAACCTATGCTAGATATTCTCCATGTTGCTAAGGACAATTTTTTATTTCATATGTGATGACACGAGTGGAAGAAACAAACACTTTTTCTAAGATGAAACATCACAACAAGATCCCCAGTATATTTATAAAGGGATTTTCTTCTGTTCAGATTCTGTTGCCACTATCTCAGACTCAGTGATCTTTAGGGCAGTGATGAATCTGCTGCCCTAAAAGCAGTAAGTCAAGACGACTTAGTGCCAAAACAAAGTGACAGGGTAGTTGACTTACTTCTGTAGCATCCGCGAGTATAGTTTGAAATGCCACAGATATCTTCACCTCCACACACTATGTTAGAGCAGGAGACGCTGGAGCTTTCTGTGCAAAGGCATGTCTGAGAGCAGTCATCAGTGGTGAATGTTTCTCCAATCTGGAAGACAACAGTTAAATGTTATAAAACATCAAATAAAATCAGCCATGAAGACATGAATGGAGCACTGGGGACCCATGCTATTCTCTTCAATACTTTTCCAAAGAGAAACCTGTGAGATTATGAAGCTGTTTAATCTGTTTAGTCCTTCAGCTAGGGGAAGATACTCTCTACCCTTCAGGCTCTCTCGTTTTCAGTCTCTCTTCATGCTACAATCAGCTTTGCAGAAACTCAGCCCTGCCCCTACCACCTTCGATAAGGGCAGGGACCACAGTGACTGGCAGAATTTCTCTATAACTGGTTTACTGTAAATTTAAGAGCCTATTAGGCCATTGTTTAGTCGTAAACGTAAAGAATTAACATGGAGGTCACAGTGTAATCACATGCTTCCCCCATGTGCCTGACCTGAGTTTTCTGACAGGCAGAGATTCAGAGGCATACCAAGTGCTCAACTTGCTCTCTGCTTCCTCTAGATATGAGAATACTGTTAAACAAATTGCTCTTTGTTTCTAATGCAAACCTGCACACCGAGGAGAATGAAGAGATTGTCAAAATACTTAGCAGGAGAAAATATTGTTTGACACTGTGGAAGCCATCTACCTCACACTGTACTTATGAGGTACATGACACCATACCTCATAATATTTGTCAAGGTATGTGCATCCACACTGCCTGTAAGGCACGCAGTCAAAACCACTGAGAACATAACCAGGGAGACATTCACAGCCTTCAACACAGGGCGAGTCGCACTCAGAGGGGCTGGTTAGGTCAGCGCAGGACGCTGGGCACGCGGACATGCAGGAGCTGTAGTTGCTGTTGGCAGGACACTCCATTGCTGTAAGAATCAGGAGAATGTAGTTAGTTATAACAGGCTGCTGTGTGTTACTCACACATTGTCTTTTCAGCACCAAAAGATGTTACTATTTTGTAAGAGGCAAAATGCTGAATACAAATACATGGAGATAATCGAAAGTTGAATTTCAAGCACTGCAAAGTCAGGAAACACACAGTCAACAGTTATCTGCGTGCCGTATCCCACTTGTGGTGTTCACTGATCTCAAATAATTTCTCACACACCCAGGATAGCCATTCCTGTAAATAGGAGGTTTCATGGTTATGGGAAGTGTTTTTGTTGTAAATTCATCAAACTGTGGGTGACAAGCAGTTTGTGGAAACTCTCAGCTTGAAAAAATACTTAGGGAAAAGAAGGTTTGATGTTATTTGTGAGATTTATTCCTGCATTCTTAAACCTAGGTGATGCGGGGGGTTGTGCTGCATCTATTCTGAAATCTTGTACACAAATAATAAAAAATAGTAAATTTTGTAGATTTAAAGAGATTGAAAAGAAATGTCTTGAAAGCTTTCCTTCATATTTTTCACTTGTGAGAGCACCAACTCTTTTCTCTCACAGAAGCTCTGACTGCTCTGCTTTCCTAAGTAAATTTCTAGGCTGGAGCTTAAAGGTGAAAAGTCAGCATAAGATTCTGAGGAGAGGCCAGAAGAGCAAATGTGCATCCTAAACTGTGAACAGTGATTGCAATTCAATATGCTTTCAATCCCTGAGATGCTTTGATACATGGTGGCTCTGTAAAAAAAGAAGATTTTTTTTTTTTGAGCGAAACCCCAAAACTCAGATTTTGAGAGTCCTTCCTAGATAGAAACTATGTGTTCTGGTTCCTCCTGTACTTACAACAAAGTGTTTGTTGCCTCCAGCCTTCCACACTGATTCCTTGCTCCTGACAAGCCAGCACATACTGCTCCAGACTGCGACATAATGTAGCATTATCATCTCCTTCCACACACGTATCAAAAAGGCAGCTCCTGTGTGCAACATAAGAAATCATTTATTCCCAATAAATTAGTTATAGCTTACTTTTAACTGCTTTTTGCCCTCCCTCTGAGTTCTGTTTTCCTGTACCTTGATGACAACTGGCAACTACTTGGCATATTTGTGACTGATGAAGAATTAAGGTGGGGTGACTCAATACATTTCATCTGGTTCAAAAGGGAATATGTAGAAATTACGTGTGCAGTTCTTGTGGACAGCAAGATAATTACTAACTCACTAAATTCACTGGCTGTTTTTGGTACTTCCCCATGGAAGATACAAGAAGTGTCACTGCCAGCTTCAGCCCTTGTGTTTATAGCATAAGGGCTACATCTTATTATGCTGGAATTGCCAAAACGAATCTAATGGTGCCAAGTACTAAATTCTCAATGAATGAGAGTAAGAACTTTAGGCACACTGGAAATCACAACTTACAGGTGTAAGGTTTAATACTGATAGACATTATGGGGTCCAACTTATCCTTGATTCCTACTTAATATTCGTGAAACTGAAGATGCACAGCTCTTCTCAGAAAAAAAAAAAAAAAGATTTGGGGTGAACAGTTGTCTACAGCACAGACTTACGTGAGATAGAAATCGGGTGAGATGGTAGAATGGCAGTTTGCAAAAGGACCATTTGACTCTATCAGAATTTGACACCTAGAGGTCCTGTTTTGTTGTTCCAGTGTGCTTTCATCACAACCTTGGAAAAGCCCTGTATCTGGTTCCTCCTCCTCTTCTGTAGAGACATCTCGTCTGCAAATGAAAGCATTGTGAAACCACCAGTTCTCAGCACAGTATTCACAAGGTTACTCTCTAAATTGAAGATCACAAGAGTATTTCTGCATTTATGAAAGAAGTGACAGCTTATTTCTATCTCATGGATTATCATGAATGTAAGGGGACACATAAAACAAATCAATGAAGTACTATAACTGTCTCAGAGATTTGTTTTTCTTTAAACCAAAAGGCATAGCTGTAATTGTCCCTTTGGACATTTTGTATGACACAGGTTTCATCCAATGTCTCATTTCAATAAACCTTGAATCTTAGCCAAAATGATGCAGCTGCAGTAGGTCAGCCATTTCTGGGAGATGTGCTTACTTTCACTGAACAGCTGGCTGCATGCCTGAAGGCCTGGTGTTCTCTTCTAGGCATAGCCTCCAGAGCTTGCCTCTGCTTTTTACTGTTTTATTACACAAGTTTTTGCAGTTAGATAATGTCCTGTCAGCTAATGCAATTCCATTTACTTGCCAAAAATGTTCTGTGTGAGTGGCTAAGCAACCTCCAAAGGCCTTTCAAAACAGAGAAGGCAGAAAGAGGGAATAAAACTTAGTTCCCTACCTCTTTCAATTTGTGTATGGACCAATTAGTGCAGAACTGGCTTGACCACAAATACCACACTCATTTATACTAAAAAGATTATTCTGGCTTTCTTTGTACTGGCAGGAAAGAGAATATAGCTAGGAAAGTAAGGAAATCAGACTCTTAAGCAACTTCTAGGAGAAAATGTGAATTCATCTGGTTGGATTTCCAAAGTGTGTTCATCTTCCATAAGAAGGGATGACACTGAACCAGTATCTGCCTTCCCTCAAGCCCATTCAGCACAGTATCATTAACTGGCCAGGACCCATGAGCCCTCCCCAGACCTAAGCCATCACTGTGCCACGGTAGTTACAATGGCTGTGACTCCAAAGGACAGTGATCTGGAATAATGCAGTGATGGCTCAGGCCTCTCTTGGTTAGATAGAAGAGCACTGATAGTTCACCTTAGCAATGAGAACTACAAACAGAACAAGGCAGGAAGATGAAAAACAAGGCAGTATAGCAGTTATGTCTGGGTTTTAAATACGGCTGTATTCACTGATTTCCAGTGGCTGTGCCTACCATAGAAATTCAATAGAAAATGAAGTACCTGCGACGAGAGGCTGTTCTTTGGACAGGAACTTTCCAGCTCTCACCAAATACATTCACGTTCCTCACCCAAACACCATCGGGATTAGTGAAGTCATTTCTGTATATCCCATCAAAGTTGCCACACAAGCCTTCCACTCTGTTCTGGTAGGTGTTGGCCAGCTTTATTTCTAGGGAGATCAGAAGAAGAAAAGCCATTACATAGATATCTTTGCATATGGAAGAAGTGGAAATAAGTGTCACATAGCTTTTTCCAGGATCCAGAACAAGAATTAGTAAAGTGGCGTGAACCCTGTACACAGGAGATGAGCATAACACTGAAAACTGGCCATGCATGTATTCACAGAGCTGTTTCTTTGCTCTGCTGCAAGAAATGGATCATTAAAAAAAAAAAAAAAAAGTTTATGGTAGCCAGGAGAGTCTTTATTTAGCAGTACATCTCCATGCAAGTTCTCCTTGCGCTTACAGGTTACTATCCTGCAGCTAACTCTCAGAAATAACACAACTATATTCTGTTCTAAATCAGGAGTAACTCTGCTCTAATCTGAAGAGATGACATAGAATGAGCTGTATGTACATGACACAAATCCTGCTGACATGCACAAAGGAATGGACCCATTTGTAAAAGAGAATGTAAGGAATTCTGTGGGAGGAAGTATGCAGAAGCATACACTCACAGTTGAGAACCCTTCAATAGGTTACACATTGGCAAAGAGGCACATTTTGACTTTACTCCATCATCCTAATCAGTAATTTTAAGTGGTCTCCTTTTGCGTTTATCATTCAGGCTTTACTTTATATGAACAACCTTAGAACAATCTGTGTGCACATCCCATTTCTCCTAAATTCAGGCTGATCCAGACAAAGAAATGCCAATTTTGTAGATCTCTGGTTTCAGGGAGTCATTTTTGGTTTCAGTTTTCTGGAACTTCATATCATACTCACAGACTCATAGGATGAAGATTTCTAATTTTTTTCATTTTGGAATGAGAACATTTCTCAGTCTGTACATAAATATCTCCGCAGATTGTCTTAGCATCACTTACCTGCATTTTGATTGCCATCAAAGCTCACGTATAAGCCAAAATCTGTCTCCAGATAAATTCTTGTTGCTCTCTGATATATGCGAATACCTTCGTGAGGACGAACGGGGGGTATCACCCTCACACCATCCAACTAATAGGGAGAGAAAAAGTTAAAATTCATATTATATGGGACAAATTCAAATGTGGTTTCAGGACAGCAGGTCAATGCTACAAATGAACACTCTTCCTCTCTGGTTTCATGGTAAACATATTAGAAACCAGGAAAAAAAAAGAAAAGAAAAGGAACAGTATTTACTTTTTCAAAGGAATAAAGTCCTGTATGGAAAAAAGACACAATATTTTCATATCATCCTAGGAGATTTCTATTATTGAGCTATAAAATGTATATATGAGCTAATGTATAAGCTTATGTACTAATGAGAGTAAGGAAACACGAGTTTTACAAGCCTATTTTTCATTTTCCCTACCACTGATAAAAAAAATCTATGGCTTTATTGTAAGTCTTGGGATATTTGGTGTTTTGTTCCTAAATCTCTATTTTTTATTTGTTTGTTTTAAGTAGAATATATTACTCATGGTTATAGAGGGGAAAAAATAGTAGGTGCTTAAATCTAAACAAATACAAAAATTTTTAAAAAATAAATACTTCATGGCATTCTTTTCTAAAGCATTCCCAATTTTTAATCAATCAATCCCCATCACACTATGCTTGAGATTAGTACTTCAGCTACTATTATTTTTAAATCAGAAATGATTAGAAATTCAGCTCTGAAATGGATATTTTCTGCAATTCCCTTCAGTATTCTTTATTCTGTTCTTCACACCTCTAAAATGGGTGCTCTGATCCCTATTTACCTGCTTTTCAAAGAGACTGAGGAGAGAAACTTGTGTAAAGTACATAAAATATCGTGACTGTAATGTTAGTGTGCACCCCTTCTTACACCTATTGAGTTCAGGTACAGCTCTGCCTGCTCCACAAATTACTGCTAAAATACAGGTCAGCATCTGCACTCAGAATCATTCTTGCATCCCAAGTTAGATTTCCTTTGGATGATGATCCTAGTTCCATTACCACACTGCAGGATTCTTAATCTTTTGAGGTCTCTCTGGCACAGTCTTAGGAATTTTACTACAGCAAGAAGCTCTAAACTTCACAGTCAGTCCATCTTACAATAAATCCCTCTTAGCATTTTTTTCATGTCTTTACATTGCTCTCTATTTTATTTCCAAGTTTGCATGTTATTCCCCATTTCCTATTCTAATTAATAAAATGATGAGCTTAAGGCAGGAGCCACCCTTACTGTTTGTGAGGACTCAGCACAACTGACAACACATTTTTGGCTGCCCCATAGCACTGCTGTAAAAATACAGTTTCAATATTAAATGCTTCAAAATAGGCATTTATAATTCAAATTTGTTTTATACCAGGGGGATTGGAGGAGCATTTTGTCCATGCGCTGCAGTGAGAGACTTACCAGAACCTGCCTCTTCTGTCTGAAGCGCACCGTATGACCATAGACATTGATGAGAATCTCTTTGAGGTAAGTAATGTGTCGAATTAAAGGAAGAGGATAGTTCATGCCCTCGATGCTGAACTGTGTCAGAGTATCAGGTAGGTTAGGGATGGTTTGTGCCAGAATATACTTGTATTTCCCTTGGAAGTGGTGCACCAAGCCATCAAAGGTGGTGTAGTGTGGATCACCCATGATCCAGCATTTCTTAAAACCTAAAAGAAGAGAGTTTCATTACCCTCCAGTCTAAATGTCAAATCCTATACATGGACCAGTTTAATAAGGACTAGATAACAAAGTTTTCTGCTAACGTGCAGGTCTCTGAAAGCAAAGATGGGTACTTTGGCATCACCCTAGTGAATGGGTATCTGAGGGCTCTCAGAGGTATGGGTTTCATGTTCCACCACAATGTGAAATATGAAATTCTTGAAACATAAAAAGCACTTGATGTCACACTGATTACTTCTGAGGTTACTAAATTTATCACTAGGATCACCAGAACTAAAAATTAGATGTAGAAACTATTGTCTATGTATTTTGTTTGATAATTAAGTGCAGAGTCAATCATTCTTCAAGAACTAGGCTCTCCTTAAGGCTGCTGTGGCATCTCTGCAGTGGTATTTTGCCCAAATGGAGCACTGCAAAACTGCATTTCCATTGTTCTTGTACTGGTCACCTGTATGGTGAGACCTATGTTATACCGTTTTTCAAAATACAGCTGTAGAATCACTTGGCAACAAGCTATGTCATAAATATTCCAATTTACTTGTGGCATATGGGATTAAATGTAGCACAGCAAATATCTCCCAGAATCCTATCCAAAGGAGCTACTGGATGAAAAGCAACAAAGTTATTTGACTAGTATATTTACTTAATACCCATTCAGATCTGCTCTGTCCTGACTTTTAGAGCTTCATTTTTTTCTGTTCTCAAATCAGCACACAGTGAAGAGAAAAGGTTAATTGCCAGAGGATACAAAGATGTATCTGAATGTTATTTGTAGTAGATACAGTACAAATCTCTTTTCTTTGCAAACCAGTCAGACTAAACTGTCAATTTTCTAGAGGTAAATATATCTTCAAACTACTGTTTTGCTTCCCTCTAGAGATTGTGTGTCTTGTACTGGAACTTTCTGTTGTGAAAATTGAAGCCTTTTTGCATTCAGCACTGGCAGACCTGGCTGACCTCCCCTGTAAAAAGGCTAGAAGTGTCATGGAAGAAAGACTGGATACCTCTCATCCTTCCTCCTCCTTGAGCCTTCATGAAACACCAAATGAAGATCCCCATGCACATACCTGTTGGATTACACTTGTGTTTTCCATTTTTGATCACACAGGTTTCTTGAGAGTCACAGCCATAGTCCTTACATGTGATGACACCATTCTGACATTGGCATCTCTGAGCACAGTGTTGAGTTATCCAAGTTTCCCCAGCCTGGACACAAGTTGCAGCAAGAATATTACTGTGGTGCTCAGCTTTACAATGCAATAGAAAATGAATAGTGAAGGTTTTGGGGGCTGGCTAGATACGATTTGTCCTGCTGCTTGTTCCACAACTGCCTAATCCAGGCATAATCTCTCCAGAAGCCTGGGAGGTGGGGAATCTCAGTCCATTTGCCTTACTGAGTATCTTGAGAAGAGACAGACTGCCTGAATAACTCTGATCAAAGTACTGGTCTCCAATATGTCTCAATTTTGGCCTCGTATGCAAAGCACCAAGCTTTTGCAGTTGCTCCTAACTTAGCCTGCAGCTTTTTCTACCCAGATCAAAGATACCTAATGATTTCTCTCTCTCCCATTCGGTCAGGAAGCCAAATCTTCACAGGTTTTGCAGACAGAGATTTGTTCCACAAACTACTTACACTGTAGTAGTTGTCGTCATCATCCCTGCAGCCACAATTGCTCAGAGGTACACACTTGCCGTTACTGAGCACATAATTATTATCACACTCACAGCCCTCAGTGCACTGTTCTGTCTTCTCACAAAGGGAAGAGGCAAAAATGTCATTGCATGTTGATGGGCAGGGGGAAGCACAGTCTGTGTAATGGCTGTGGGTTGAACAGGGCAATGCTGTGTGTGGGTGAAGAAAATAAAAACAGTGTTACTAAATACACTTAGAAACCACAACTGCAAACACCTATCACTGCCTGAAAGCTAGAACTTGGCCTGCAAAATGGCAGTGTTGGATTGCATTTTAATAGACAATTTTGATGGTACGATTTTGAATTTTGACCTTAACAAAACAAAAACAAAACACACACACAAACAAACAAAAGAATAATTCAGAGAATCCTTCTGGAGCTGTTGATTCAGTTCTATTACACATGGGTCTCAGCTGGTGGTACCTGGATAATTCAGATTCACAATTCCAGCTCAGTGTTGCAAATGCCTGTTTGGGCACTGCTGAAAATGTGAGTCATTAGGGCAAATGCCTTAAGAGTGCTCAACCCTCCAGCAACATAAGGCATAAGGTGTTAATTAAGCTCCTTTAACCAAGCGGACAAATCTTCACTCAGATGCCAGTCTTCATTCAGATCACAGTGAACAGTATTGAGCCCTTTGTTCTAATACAGTATTCCAATTTCTTCTAATCTTCTTGTTATACTATGTCTCAATTTTAGACTCACTGCAATATCTCACAATATCTATCTGGCTACTAAAACTATTCTAACTCCACATTACTTCCCACAGCTTGTCTAGTTCTAAGTTACCACTGGATGTAACTCAACATAATCAAAGTTCAGTGCAGCAATGAAGTCATAAAATCACAGATAATAGCATTGCATTTTGTGAGGATTTGAATTTAATTATCTTTTACATAATTTGTCCAGCTAATACTGCTAATTAATTTTCATGCCAATTAAATTGCATGCCATTAGTCATCCCAGGTTTTAATTTTTCATTCGCTTGTGCACTTACGACAGAATGTGCTGTTCCTCCATTTAATGATGATTCCTTCATTCTTACAGGTGTCCACATAAACTTGAATTATGTCACAGAGAGTCGACATCATGCCATCGTACTGGCACATGTCATAGGTGCAGATCTGTATGAAAGGTTCAGGATTGACCAGATTGTGGCATGGTGTGAATTTGTCTGATTTTAAGACATTACATTCGCTTTCAATGACTGGTTTGTTCTCAGCAGTGCAAGGAGGAAGATCATCATCTCTTGAGTCTGAAAAACAGCTACATGAAAGCATAAACACAGTTAAATTTGAGTGTCAAAGACATATGTAAAACAGACTGAAAGTGGCAAATCTGATCCTGAGAGGTATTAATAAGCAGCCTTGCAGAATCTGATTTGTGACTTGATTTATTGTTACAGGGAAGATATAAAAAGTTTAAAGGTTTTAGATGCTTATCTGATCTTTCCCTGTCTCTTTCCCCATCTCTCTGGGCCCTGAATGCACTAACAGACCTTACTGGCCCTGACCAGTCCTTCCTGGAATCTCATCCCACACAGGCCCACAGCCCAGAACATCACTTCGGCCCAAACTGGAGCGGTCAGGCCCTGTGCCAGCCATGCCGTAGTAGTGCCAGTCTCCAGCTTTGCCACAGCCCTGTCTCTACCTGGCCACAGGCCACACTGATCTGGACCCTGACGAGGCTGACTGTCCGACCAGGCCTTGGCCTGGCCCTATTACCGTGGCCCTGTTTGGACATGATGGGGCTGTGTCTGACCCTGGCTAACCCCACTGGGCCTGATCTGGCTCCTGACCTGCTGACTGACTGCTCAGCCTGGCCTTAGACCCCATCACCATGGGCCTGCTAAGCCATCCCTGGGCTCTGTCTGGCCATGGTTAGCCTCATTGAACCCGATTCTGACAAGTGAATTGACTTCCAGCTTGACTTTGGACCTGTCACTCCGAACTTGTCCAGTGATCTGGACTCTCAGTTGACCCGGCTGCCATTCCTCATCTGCCCTGCTCCCCTTACTCAAGTGCTGTGGGATGGTCTCTGGTTGGTGATGCTCCTGTATGGCAAGCTGTGTTATTATGCTCAGCTCCCCATCTCCTTCTCGTTGCTGGTTCTCGTTGCTCCCCAACACCATAGTTCTGCTCTA